ATAATTAAAATAATTCTTTCAGAAAAAATCTGAAAAAAATATATATTAAATTATAACTTATAAATTTTATTTTAATATAAAACAAAAATTAAAAATTATAAAGTTTAATATAGAGAAAATTTCAATTTTTATTATATTTTATTAATAAAATTAATCTTCTAATTTCATAATTATGAAAATTATTATATATATTTTATTATTAAATAATAATTATTTTTTATAAATTATTTATTATTTTATTTATATATCAAAAGTCAATTATCTAAAATTATTAAAAATAATTTCTTATAAGAAATACAAATATATTAATTGTCAAAAAAAGCTTTATTAAAAATGTATATATAACTTATAAAATAAATTGAATTATATTATTATAATATGGAATTAGCACAAATTGGAATAAAAAGTTTAGAATTAAAATGAGTTAAGTGAATTCCGAATCCATCAAAATGAAATATAAATTCTAATTAATTAATTCAGGTGTTTTTTCTCAAATTATATACATATTCATTAATTAATGCTATAATATTAATTAATTAAATGGTATTAAGGAATTATTTTTAATGAAATTCTATACTTATTTCTGTACTCCTTGAAATTATATCTACAAATTTCTATGATCTGAGGCAAGAACCCGGTGTACATGGTTTTTGGGATATATCATCATTTATAGGTATTTTCTTACTATCTGATTCAAATTTTGAAATTGGTATCATAGGCTCTATTATTGTTGCGGTTGATGATGAAGGGTCAGTAAAAGTCCTTGGTGTTGGAGGTAGTGTGGTAATTTTCTGTGAATTGCTGTGTTTAACTGTATGATGCGATTGAATTACAAGGTCGTGTTGATGTTCGTGTTTGGGAGTGGCTCGATTGTGTGCCATGTGAGATTTTACTAAATCTCCCGCAGCAAGCGCTGCACAAAGACTGAGTTCACCAGCCATTACAGCTGCGCAAATAATCCGTGCAAGTTTTTGGGCATTTGCTCCGGGTGTGGTTGGATGAGGGCCTCGCACGCCTAGCATATCTAAGACCGCACTTTGAGGTGGGAGTATAGTCCCGCCGCCTATTGTGCCAACCTCTATTGAGGGCATGGTACAGGTAAGATGCAAATTTTCACCGTTGTCAACACTAGATAAGATTTAGATATGAATTAATATTTATATGGAAAATTAGCAATAAAATGTTTTAAACAACTGACTTACGCTTTCATTAAAGTCATACAGTTTGAACTTTCAACATTTTGTGCAGGATCTTGACCGGTCGCGAGATAAATAGCAGTCAATATATTGGCAGCATGTGCATTGAAACCTCCTATTGATCCAGCCATCGCCGAACCAATTAAATTTTTTGAAATATTTAGTTCCACAAGTGCTGCGACACTTGTTTTTAATACTTTTTCCACAACAGAACCTGGTATGATTGCTTCTGCAACCACTGATTTGCCTCGTCCTTCTATCCAATTGATAGCGGCTGGTTTCTTATCCGTACTAATGTGTCGAGAAATGATTAATTTTTATTGAATATATAAATGAATTTCAAATTATTTATTTCTTACCAGTAATTACCGGATAGTGAGACGATTTGCATGTCGTGGAAATATTCTGACATTACTGATAAGGCCTTTTCGCACCCTTTCGAAATCATGTTCATTCCCATCGCGTCACCAGTGAACGTAGCGAATCGAATGAAAAGTAATTTACCAGCAAGTGCGGTCTTTAATTCTCGAAGACGAGCAAATCGTGAAGTAGACTCGAAAGCTTCTTTGATGATAGCATATCCTTCATTCTCTATCCATAATTTGGCATCTCCGGCGCGTTTTATATTAGGGAACTCAACACAAGGACCACGAGTCATAGCATCTTTAATTAGAATTGTTGTAGCCCCACCTCCCGCATTGATTGCTTTGCAACCACGGGAAGTTGAAGCAACAAGACAGCCTTCTGTAGTGGCCATGGGAATATGAATTGATTCTCCATCAATATTTAACGGACCAGCAACACCAACTGGAATTGGCATATATCCGATAACATTTTCACAACATGCACCCATGACCTTTCCATAATCGTAATTTTCCACTGGTAATAATGAATTTTCCAATGATTTGGTCAGTGAGGCTCTAGAAATCAAAGCCCGGCGTATTTTCACGGCTCTTTCCAAGTTCCCTAAAGTTTTTTCTAATGCATATTGCGCGATTTTGCCATTTATCGTCAGATGCAATATTTCATCATCACTTAATGCTGATGAACCTTGTTCTGGAGTCTTAAGTATCTTTAATAGTTCATCTATAGAACGAGGCTTTGAAGGTAAATCAGCATGTTTAGTCGATGGAATTTGCAATTCAGTTTTTTCTTTTTGTATAGAAATCTCCGAATTTGCGTTAACAGCAATTACTGGCGTGTTACTAACGCTACTTTGGGGATTTGACGATATATAAGTATCATGCGTCTTCTCTTTTAATGTAGTAGCAGCTGAAGCATTTGAACCTTTCCTCTGAAAATTAAACTCAGTCGACGATTTTGAATCTCTTGCAATGTCGTGAGCTGCTTTTGAGGAGTTCAATAAATACACATTCAAAAAAATAGAAAGAGATAACCCTAATGAAATCCACTTTGATAAAACTGGATCTTGTACAAAATAGGACCACAATTCCATGACTGAATCTACGCTTTTATAAAGTGTTTGAGAAAAAGGGTTATTGCCGTCTTGAGTCACACTAAACATCAATGGTGCTGCGATATCAATAATAAGAGGCAGATGCGCATTAGAGCTTTTTTTGTGATATTCGAGGAAAGTATTAAGAATAGGTGTATTTGTTAACTCATTCACTTCTGTCCGTTGATCATCTATTATATTCAAATTTTGTCGTGAATTGGATTCGTCATGCGTGTGAAGCGTAGTGGCATAATTCATCACGTGCATAATTACAAATCCAGCGATCTGATAAGAAATATTTCATATTAATTTCAGATTAGGCGTCTCGATAATTCAAAAGATGAAATCAATGGGTATACTTACGATAATCAATTTAACACGAGCAATCATGGGATTGTCATATTTCTTTTTTGCATCAGTTTCGACTGTATTATCACGAAATGCTTTTAAGATATTTTGTCGAATATAAGCCGGTTTACTTGTTATTTCATCTTTTTCCACCAAGGTTTTTTTAATGGGAGCTTGACGAATGCGATTTATCTATTTTTAATAAGAATAGGAACATAATTAGGATGCTGTGCGAAATCTATAATTAGAGGGAGAACCAAGATCAAAACACACCTCAAGTTTTAGAGTCAGCATAGCGGTGTAAAAAGTATATAGAAAAATGCAATCATACAATAAAATGAACGCGCCTAAAAAGCAAAATTCCTGTAATCCAGCAACACCTGACAAAGCTCCAAATATCAAGACTGCGATTTCAATCAAATAGTCTCGGACAATTGAGGGACTAGACTTCTGGACACCTTCCATGATATTGTCTCGAACATTATTTGGGATAATATCCGAAGAATTGGCTTCTTCAAATTGAGTTGAATTTCGATTTGTGGGTGAGGCCTGGAGAACAGCTTTTGTTAAGCTAACTGGTTTTTCGAAACCAACGGTGATAATTAAGAAAGGAATTGCCTCACTAAATTCATATGATAAAAAAAAATATATATATATATTATATTAATCTATGAAATTCAAAAAGATAATTATGACATTAAATTGAGCATTAAACGTGCCTTAAGAGAATCGGATTGACCGAGACACCGAACAAATTGATCGTCAATATCGCGCACATGAAAGAGAAAAAGCCATTTGCCATTACACATATTGCTGTATGATAAATGAAAAGATAAGATTGGTAATTACGAATTAAAATAAAATTGAAAGGGATACTTACCAAGGATATATCTTGATCCAATTTTACGCATATTTAAAAATAGGGCAAAGAATGTGAGATGCATCAGAATATACCCGGCCAAAATCACAAAAATATCAATAGTATCAGCTTTCTAGGGATAAAGGAAAAAGAGAAATGATCATTAAAAAGATAGAATCATAATAATAAAATTATCGAGAAATAAATCTAAGCACATACATTTATTAATTCCCTAACTTTTGAGATGAGATTTCCAGTCGACAATGCCAAAGATGCGAGAGAACCTTTCTCTGCATTTAATTGATGATTTTTACCATTTGATATCAAATGATCGCTGTTATATTCGGCAACTTTTTGTTCCCATAAATTCGCCCAATGTGCATGATACGGTCCATAAAAATTGAATGCATAAGTCAAAAGTAATGAAGCGACACCATGATTTGATCTAATTGTCTCTGCATTTTTCAAAAGTTCATTGTGTATTAAATGTTTGTGTTGATGGGCAATGGGTTTCTCCACGCTTAGGATGTCAGAAGCTTGATCCCAGATGGCCAATGAGATAGTCGTGAAACAAGTAGAGTTTATATTATCATTTAATTTATAGCATAGATCATCATTAAAGTATAGTTTATTTTTCCCATCAAGGACAAAAAATTCATTCTCAATTGAGTTTTGAAACTGGGAAACTATTTCAAGTACTTTTGCATTGAGGACGTTATGTGTAGTCGAGTTAATTTTATTAAAGTGCTTTAATGGGTTTGATAAGAGCATTTGTTTGAGTTGTATGCGAATTGCTTGGGCGATGTAATCATTCTTTGTTAAAGGAACGAATTGACTAGTCCCGGGCCAAGCGATTACTTTTGTTGGCTCGATATTTGGTGTTTGATTTATCACGTAACTTGATTCAATAAGAGACCTGAAAAGAGCAGCATAAGCAAATGAAGCGATAAATAAGCAAAATACAATCATTTCTATTGGGTTTTTAGAAGACCGCATTGCAGCCCTCCAGAGTAATTCCTTTGTTGTCTGTAACATTTGAAAATATTATAATAGAAGGGTTTATTTAAAAATTAAAATTTTTAAAAATTAAGAAACGATTCCTTCGGGGTTTATATCTATTTTTAGAGATGGATCAATATCGGCTTATTTAAGCTAATTCATTTAATTACTATTATCCTAAGCAATAACGATGAACCAAAAGTGATTCAAACAATTGTCATTACACATTTAATGATTGTTTGCATGGCAAACACATGCAGTCAATCCCTTTTTTGATCAGATCAAAATTAGTTACACGAGAGACAAAAGCAAGTTTCAGTTTCATGAGAAATTTCAAATCTAAGGTTCATGCATATAAGATTTATCAATAAGTCCATTCCGAAACTTAACTCTAATCTTAATAATTGAAACATTGCAATAATGCAATGAATGAATGACCTATCATAAGGGATGATTGCTATTATTGCTATTATTGCTATTATTGTTATTCTTGATTTAGTGATACCGTTACACACTTTCTAGTTTTTTATGTGTGTAAAGAAGCGTCACCCGAAACCATAGCGGTTACCCTAATCCTTTGTAATAACGATAATTTTTATCACCGTTGCAAATTTCTATTTTCGAAAATAGCAACGGAGTAGCAAAATGAAAGCCGCGGATTTGGTAGGATTTAGACGTTCAATTGTCATGTAAAGCACATTTATCCATTTTTAATTTAATAAATACATGTAGATTCTAGTTTTCATATTTCGAAAAAAAATATGAAATAATAAATAGAGAATAAATAATCGAATCTAATGCGAGACTTTTTTGTCACCTTTGTTCCAATTTTTGGGTGCTACACTCTTGGTTGCACCTTCGGGTGTCTAATAAAATGCAAAGAATGGTTAAAAGATAATCATCTATAGAAAGATGGATAGGGATCCATCAAAAAAAAAACCAAATATACCAACCACGTAAGCAGCAGTAATTCCACCATCGACTTTAATATCTGCGCCCGTTATATAACTTGCTTCATCAGAAGCAAGGAAAATTGCAGTCTGTGCGATTTCAATTGGTTCACCTGAATTAAAATGTTATATGATAAAGATGTTAAATGGTTTTTTTTTTTACATAATTCTTAATGAAGATCTAAAACATGTAATTACCAAATCTCCCACATGGCACATGAACTAATCTTCGTTGTTTCTTTTCATCATTGTCTAAGAAGTTTTGTAACAATGGAGTGTTTAGAGGTCCAGGTGAAATTGTATTAACACGGATATTTTCACGTGCATGGGTAACTGCCAATTCTCGACTATGAAAACGATATTGTATTTAAAACCCCATAGAAAGGATTGATGTATAAAAAGAATAAATCTTTAGATACCTTAAAGACAAAACTGCACCCTTTGAAGCGGTATCTATTTTAACGAAAGTCATGTTAATTTCTAAGCCAATTTAATTGAAAACGAAATAAGAAGCTTTTTAAAAAAAACCTTACAAGCTAATTGTGGAGTAGCAGATCCCATACTTGCAACAAAACTTGCAATGTTTATGATATTTCCACCTTTGCCATTTCTACGAAATGCTTCGATAGCATACTTGGAGCCATACCAAACACTTTTAACATTAGTGTCAAAAGTGAGGTCCCTGGGATTGCGATATCAAATATATGTTAGTAATTTGAGAATCTTGAAAATGATTAAGACCAAATTATTTACCAAACTTTTTCGTCTGTGTTTAATGCATTATCATCATGCGGATGCATGATTCCTGCATTGTTGACCATAATATCTAGTCTACCTATATGATGTATATATCGAATTTTCGATTATTATTCTTCACTTAATCGTATAATACACATATAATCCAATACCAACCAAACTCCTTCAACGTTGTCTCGACAAGTTTTTTAACTTCTGCCTCCTTGGTAACATCAACTTTGTAAGGAAGAGCATGCTTACTTAGATGAAGGGGCCCGATAACATCCTTTATTCTTTCAACGGTCTTTTCGACTGCTTTGAAGTCAATATCAGCAGCAACAACTCGCGCGCCCTCTTTAGCAAATATTACACAACATTCGAAACCAATACCACTAAACATCATTTTTTAATCACAAATAATAAATAATATTCGCCATTTTAGGTCAAACAGAATTTGAAGACATAGTTTAGTGCATTCAATGGTTTTACCTTCCAGCGCCTGTTATAATGGCGACCTTGTCTTCGAGACGTCCTTTAAGGTCTTTAAGAGCTTCTTTTACAGCAGTTGCCATCGTTTCTTTTTGGTTAACGAAAGTTTAAAGATCTTTGCGATACAGTTTGTACCTCGATGCAGTCGCACCTCGATACAATGGCGTCAGTATGACGTATGTCGTAACAATTCTGTATACCGGGAAAATGCAGTCACACTTTCTAATCCCCAGGATATACGCGAGTGCCATCATTCACGAGATCGTAGATAACAGAACTGGTTTTTTAAGTTTTATTCAAGAATAAAAATATTATTAACTAAAATATTCTATACAAGTATATTATAATGTAAATTCATGGAAATAATGATATTGATCGCCATGAATAAACGAATTAAAAGAGGAAAAAAAAACTAATTACAAAATACGGAACAAAAAGAACTATTAACATTTTTTATTTAATATCGTTTGATTAATTTCATCGAATAACAAGACTTTAATGAAATTCCCATATCCAATTGCAATGCCATCCTCACCAATTTTAACTAATTGTCTCACATACGCAAATGGTAAAAGTTCATACATTTGATCATCATCATCATCATCGGGTGTTATCGTCGCGTTATTTGTGGTGTTGCTATTATTCGGGTATACTCTGTGTAGTGCATTTCCACGTCGTTTTAAATTCCGTTGTCGGTAATCAATGACTTGGCCAACGACTTGACTATGCTCCTCGTCTTCTTCGTGGTGATGATGATCTTCATCATTTGAATGATCGTGATCATTGTGTTCGTGAAAATGTGATAAAGGGATGGTGGGTGTTGGTGGGGCTGGTGATGATGATGGTGGTGTTAATGTTGGTGCTAATTTAACGTTCCAATTGTGACTATCCATCTGTCGTTGAGCTAGATATTTTGATCTCCGAATATTTTTATTTCTTAATTGTTCTTGTAAGATTAAATCGTTTTCTTCGTTTAACTCATCTTCATACTTTAAAGGTATTGTTCGCACCGATAGCTCCTTTACCGCCTCGTCAAGATCAAATAGATGGTCATTATCAAGATCATCATCTTTGTTATCATGAACACTGTCGTAAGCTTTTGGGTCATTCAGATTAAATAACCAAGCTTCCCATTCATCTTCAGTGCCATTATTTCTGTTTCTTTGTGAATTTGATATTTTTGAGGATGAAGTCGATGCTTTTCTTACCTGCCGTACACCTACAATATTTTCTCTCAAAAATACTATCGCTGAAGCACCTGATTGACTAACTCGACCAATGAATTTTATTCGATAAGAAACTAATTCATCCCTTTCAAACACATCTCTATTAGAATGTTCATTGATCGTATGATATTGATGCGGCGGATCATAATGTAACTCAATTATTCGACTATCAAAAGTTGATAGTCCTTTTGAAACCATATTATTGCCATGACCTTTTTCCGCTAGTGTCATGGTCATATGTAAAGCCATGCAGCTACAATCCATCACATTCCGAACCAATTGCCAAAAGTGTACTTTCTCATCAAGTGAACTCGTGACTACCCAAAATCCACCGCCTGTCTCGACACTACCGCATGGACAACTTTGTTGTTCTAATGGATGGATTATAATGTTCGTAATAGCTTCTTTATGAAAAAATTCGTCAAATGAATCATCCGAATCATAATCTGAATCATGATAAAAGTCATCATCATCTTCCGAATCTGAATGTTCATTTATATTATACATTTGTTTTTCTCGTAGTCGTTCTTGCCTTTGTTGTTGTTGTTTCAATATTTTTGCTTGTAGTTTCTCTTGCTCGCGTCTTTGCTTCCATAAATTACCATGACTTAGTGAAGTGATATAACTGCCAGTCAAATAATCGTACACTCGTACTTCTCCATCCGCAGCCCCCGTAACAACTATCCCATACCAATTCTTTTTGGTCTTTATTACTTTATAAGCGATATTAGTAATGACATTACCGACCTGTCCAACAATCGTATACACTGGCTTCCATCGGCTTTTTGGTTTTTCCTTTTCTTCTGTCTCATTCATGTGATCTTTCTTAAAACTTTCTTTGTCATTATCAACAATTTTGCGTACCCAGCATCGAACTGAGCCATCTTTTGCACCAGAATACATACGTAAATCTTTTTTCATGTAATCCTGATCTTCATCATCGACTACGCATAAACAACTGATACCGGCCTTTTGATTCGTGGCAATTGTATGCACAATTTTGCCTGAAATTAAATCCCATTCTCGAATATATCCATCACGATAAGCAGAAATAAGCATCGCGGGTTGAGACCTTAATTTTGAGGACATCTTCGATTTTGGCATTGAAGGAACAACTAACTTCAAACAGGTGACTCGCGCGCTTGGAGAATTCCCAATCACTGCTGACATTACTGATTCTACGTCATCAACTGTGTCTTTTAATATATGAGAAGCCTGTCCCGTTTTAATATCCCATACGCGAACAACACCATCTTCAAATCCTGCCGCAGCAAGCTCAATTTTTTCACTCATACACATTGCTCTAACTGGCCAAGATATACAACTTTTCTTCCCGCCTGTTATCCCGCATTTGCATGACGCGCAACGACGCATGTATCTTTCCAATTTCTTTAAAGGAACACCTTCCCGCCCATCCCATGAAGTTATATGTTTATCTATGGCTGTAGAAATGATCATTCCATTTGAATTGGCACACAACAGATCAACATCAGCAGTGTGACGACCAAGTAAGGTAAGTACCCTTGGAAGATAGCAACCACTCTTCTCCGAAGAATCAACAGATTTTTTAGGTAACCATATTATGGAATTCATCATCTCGATCTGCTTCAATCTTGACTTTTTACGGTCGGGTGACATAAGAAAATGCAATAAAAATGCAATTCCTAATCCAATGGCCACAGCAGGAGCAAATATAAATTTGATAAACCAAACCACTGTTTTAATAGTGATCGCAATATAACGTTTCAAACTGGTAAAACTGAAGGGCGAACGTTTAACTTTGTTTACTGGCGTTGATCCACCATCATTAGATGGTAGATCCCTCATTAGCGTGACAATCTTTGGAGCTTGAATTTCCAGATAACGAGGTACCCTTGTGGGATTAACAATGTCCCAAAAAGCATCGGCAGTTACTGCAGTGTCAGCTTCCCAAAAAGTATTGTTGACTAAGTTTACTGTATCAGGACCGAGATTCGTAATAAGTTTCGAATTTTGCAAATGAGGCGCAGATGGATAAAAGCCTCGAATACCGATCATAGCTATAAGAATCTAAATAGGAATTGGATCCATCACTGAATGAGCTTATGCATGTACTGTTAAATAATTATTTACTCACCGCCAAAAAACTGGCAACCCTGCCCGGTGTTACGGAATTCCATACGACATCAGGTTTAGCAACCTTACCTTTACTATTAATATTTGTTAACATGGGTCTTCTATATAAATCAGATAACTAACAAAATTAGATCATAACAAATATATTAGTTATAGCATTCAACTTGTTTAAAACATTATAAATCCAACATAATAAATTTTAATTACCTCTAATCTACGAATATCAATCGATAAGGTCGTAATAAAGAATGTCATCTGAAGAATGTAATCTACTATAACCGCAACAAGGGTGAACACGCAAAATTCTTGCACAGAATCAATACTGGTTGCGGAACAAATCAAGAGTATCAGAAGCTCCCATCCGAGATATTTCGTTATAGCATAGCCCACTTTTCCAAGTCCAATCGCGACGCGTTCTTTAACCGCCAATTCCATTGATGTAGAAGTTACCGCATTTGTCAACACAAAATAATTTTCCACCCCAATAATCATCATCATGAATGGTAAAATTTCCCTGAAAATTTAGACATATTTTCGAATTAAAAAATTAAATCACATCTACATTTTAGTCGAATATTAAATGATGGACCTACCAAAAAGGTATTAACGTCAATTTTACGCCAAAAAGAGAACAAATGCTGAGCGATATTACCAGAGATGCAATTACTTGTGCAACCGCGGAGAATCCAAGACCAAATTTTGACTTGACTAAATTTAATCTGCCAAGCGAAAAAGAAATGTACAGAAATCCAACCAGATACCCAAGTGCTAATAGAATGTATTCAGCGCTAGTTTCGAAATGATTTTTTTTGAACTAGATGTTCGTTTTAGTTCCAAAGAAGGCATTTTAGTTCACTAATATACATTTGATGAAAATTAAACAAATAAAAACTCGAAGACTGCTCTTACATCAAAGTATAAATGTTTTAATTCACCAATAGTTGCGGTCTTCACCTCATTAAAATTGGTGCCAGCAACATGGGATATATCATCTTTCATTACTTTTTGCCACAAAAGTTCCCAAATTTCAGTTGTTACTCCTTCTGCACAATCACCCATATCTTCTAAAAAGTACGTCAATCTAATTGAATCCGCGCCAATTATTCTACCATTTTGTGAATATACGGGATTTCCAAATACAGTCTCAATAGGAATGGGAATATTAAATGAAGATTTCGGATTGGGTTTCGACAAGGTATTTATTATTGCACTATCAGACTTTAGGCGTTCGAGACTATTTTCCCAAAATTCCAGAGGCGAATGAATCAAACAAGGTTTATTGGGAAATGGTTTAAAACAAAAATCTGATAGAGTATATTTATATGTGGGGTTTATTGACAAAGGAGTATTAGAGAGAGGATTCAATGGTGCGGTACTTGTAGGATAATGAATCTCGGTTTTGGCAATTCGATCTTGTAAATGCCAAGTCCAAAGCAAGAGACTTTTGTCCAACACGCCTTCTCCTTGACCAATCCTATGTTTATGATGTGTTCCAGTTGCATTTATTACTATCTCTGCGACGCGTAGAGAAGGTCGAGTTCCGCATTTTTCAATAAATGATTCTTCACTTAGGGGCGAGCGGGAAGAAGGAGATTCCCAGAAGTAGGACTGACCGTATGCTTTGCCAGCATTGAGATAATATGTTTCAAAGGCAGGGTAAAAGAGTGGTAAGACCATAAAAATGGTCGAGACAATTAAGGTGACTTGGTGCGTTGCGCAAAACTTTCCATGACTATAAAAAGTTTGCTGGGCAGCACGCTGGACACGCTTAATAATAGGTTCAAAAAATTTGAAAACGGGCATCCCCGTTAGGTAGAATGAAAGTTATTCAAAAATTAAAAAACTAGTAAAATACAAAATACACAGTTCCAAGTAGAAAACAAATGTTAATTGTGGAAAGACATGATCGATCCCAAATAAACTGACGTTGAGTATCCCCGCCCAGAAACTCGGTATTTTTGAGTTTTTCCTATATCAATAAAGGCACCAATTAGTGACTGGGTGCCACGTGACACTGATTTTTCTTTTCGGGCATTTTTTTAAAGATGCAAGCCAAACTTCTATATTGGTAAAATAATTTTCTTTGTAAAAAAAGGGATTCTATATTTGTATTCGTCGGAATAATCCCCATCAAATTTAAAGTTTTTTTTTAGAAGTTTCTCATTACTGTGTTAGATTACAAGCAATTTCTTATAGAGCTCCTCTTCGTTTTCCAAAAGACTAATGTAGTATTTTTATCTTTCAATTCTGGTCTAATTCTCCTCAAACCTAAGTTATATGGCATAAATGGCGTACAAGACTGTATTACAGATTTCATGATCCTTTTAAAATAGCAATTACAGTATCTAATTGCTGTAAATTCCATAATACAAATCCTGATTCTCTATCGTAATGTTATTATGTCCTGTTGTAGCGAAATCTCTGTTTAGATATGATCAATATTTTGGTATTCTGTTATCCGATTCATGTGAAAACGCCACCATTTCGATTCGACGGCATTTTTATTTGAGATACCGTATTACATCACAATAATTGAAATCGATTTTTACCTAGTAAAAATCGATCAACGAAACTGTGATACATATCTCAGCATACAGTGGTCCGATTCATACCACCATTTGATTCGTCTTAGTAAATGAATTACAGCAAGCAGTCAAAAGTAGATTAATTACCTTAATTATTACATAAAATTTAAATGTTTAAAATTAATTTTTTATATAAATAAAAAATATTAATCAAATATAATGAAAATAATTATATTAATAATTTTTAAATTGAAAATTTTATAAAAATTAATATATTAAAATTTATAGAAATTAATATATTAAAATCTAAGTATTTTTATAGAAATAACAAAAAAATTAATATAATTTAATAAAACAATTGAGAAATTAAATTTTAAATTTTATTATATGTACTACTGTATATAAAAAATAATTGCATAGCAAAATTTAAAATTTAATTTTTCAATAACTATCTATGTCAAATTTTTTGTTATACAGTATGTAATAAAAAAAACTGGATATTTTAATTTTTCCCATAAATATTTATTTAAATAACATAAAAATTTAAATATATATACTTGAGTATATGATAAACAATTTTGTTTAAGACTACTTGAATACTTATCTTATTAAAATTTTTTATAATTTATGTTTTTAAAATTAAAAATTTTTAATAATA